CCGCACCTTCTCGTAGTGGTCCGAGTCGTAGTTGAGGCCGATGCCGCAATCGTCCGTGATCTCCGACAGGTCCTCGTCATCGAACTCCTCCAGGCTGATGTCCTGGGGGGGCCTGGGGACAGCGGGGACACGGCCATCAGGGAGCGGCCAGCGCTGCCACCCTGACAGTGGGTGACATCGTGGGGACATCGTCGGTCTGTGGGTGGCACACGGGGACATGGCACCACAATCCTGTCACCCCTAGGTGACACACAGGGACACGGAGATCAGGGAGCGGCCAGCGCCACCACCCTGACAGTGGGTGACACCGCGGGGACATCGTCGGTTGTGGGTGGCACAGGGGGACACGGCGCCATAACCCTGTCACCCCTGGGTGACACACAGGGACACGGAGATCAGGGAGCGGCCAGCGCCACCACCCCTGAGAGTGGGTGACACCGTGGGGACATTGTCGGTCTGTGGGTGGCACACGGGGACACGGCGCCACGACCCTGTGACCTGCAGTGCCACAGGGACACAGCGCCACAATCCTGTCACCTCCAGTGTCATATGGACACGGTGCCACACCCCTGTCACCTGCAGTGCCACACAGACATGACACCAAACCTCTGAGTGTCACACGGACATGTCACCACAATCCTGTCACCTCCAGTGTCATATGGACACGGCGCCACAACCCTGTCACCTCCAGTGTCATATGGACACGGCGCCACAATCCTGTCACCTCTGGGTGACAGACAGGGACACGGAGATCAGGGAGCGGCCAGCGCTGCCACCCTGACAGTGGGTGACATCGTGGGGACATTGTCTGTCTTTGGGTGACACACGGGGACACGGCGCCACAACCCTGTGACCCCTGGGTGCCACATGGACATGGCACCACCCCTCTGTCACTCCTGGGTGTCACAGCACCATGTCACCACAACCCTGTGACCTGCAGTGCCACATGGACACAGCGCCACAACCCTGTCACCTCCAGTGTCATATTGACATGGCGCCACAATCCTGTCACCCCTGGGTGGCACACAGGGACACGGAGATCAGGGAGCGGCCAGCGCCGCCACCCTGAGAGTGGGGACATCCTGGGGACATTGTCTGTCTGTGGGTGACACACGGGGACACGGAGCCACAACCCTGTGACCTGCAGTGTCACAGGGACACAGCGCCACAACCCTGTCACCTGCAGTGCCACATGGACACGGCGCCACAACCCTGCCACCCCTGGGTGACAGACAGGGACACGGAGATCAGGGAGCGGCCAGCGCTGCCACCCTGACAGTGGGTGACATCGTGGGGACATTGTCAGTCTGTGGGTGGCACACGGGGA